AAAGAATTATTCATGTTTTATCATTTTCCTGAACGATTCCAGTTCGCAATTATCCTATCGATCGATAATGATATAATGAAATGATACAGAACAATACGTTTGTTATTTCAATCAATATTCAATTAAACTATACACAAATAAGCATCTCAATGAAATTGGTGTTTTTTTTCTTAAACTTAATTGCTACAAATCTTTTTATTTCTGTTTTCTTTATCAATGATCATAGATTTCACTGATTGTTACTGGTGTATTTGCATTTTTATTATTATGTCTTGTAAGTGAATAATAATATCTCGTTAACATTTTCTTGAATATTTGCTGTATATATATATAAATATATATATATATATATATATATATCTATATATTGCTCAATATTGCATTTTAAATGATCGAATCATTCTTAATGATTTCTCTGTGAAATTACTTACTTACTTACATACTAACTGACTTACGCCTGTTACCTCTAATGCGGCATAGACCGCCTATCATTATTCTCCAATCCATTCTGTCGTCCGACTACGTTTACAGATCTATCCAATTGGAATTCATTCTTTTCATGTCATCTCTCATTCTAGTCGCTATATATACATTGGTCAATCTGTAAACCTTTAGCTTTTAAGATTCCAAGAGAGATTTGCCTCGTGATGCAGTTGGATGATCGCCCCGCCGTGTGTGTTCTATCCACCTCAAGTGTTTTTCCTTTATTCCATACTCAATCTGGTTTCTTCTCTCACACAGTAGGTTGTTAAAGATGATTTCAGGCAATCCGATCTGCAGTATCTTCTATAGACAACACCTGGAACTTGTGGATAATAGTTTTCATAGTTCTTCAAGTTTCCGCTCCATACAACTGAATAAATGTTTTGATGTTCAGTTTGAAAATTCTTGATTCAATGTTGGCTGACTGAGAGATGTTTTGAGTTCAAAATGCTCTCTTCAATAGTCGAAATACTCTCCTTGCTTTTCCATTCTGTGTCTTTACATCTGAATCAGATCCACAGTGTTTATTGATCATGCTGCCTAGATATGTATTGTCAATGTTTTCATATCTTCTAATGCTTCTCCATCAAGTCTAATTTGGTTGGTGTGTTTCGTTTTGTATCGGTGGATTTTATGAAATATTCAATAATACGAATAAGAATCATTGACTGTTTTGATTGCTCAATTTAACACTAATCAAATATATTGTGATAGTTAATAGGTCAAATGAAAGCATATAACAAACAGTATATAGAAACATAGCAGTCTAGCTATTTGGTAATTATACAATGAAGTTTATTATAAGGTTGTGGAGAATGTTAAGTTTCATTGAAATAATCATGAGTCGAATAATGTTAGATCATGAATAGAAACTTGGAAGCACTAAAAGATGGCCATTTCGTCCTAGATCGAGACTCATCATTAGAGTGGATTCAACACTCCCGCTCACTAGAACCACACACAAGACCTTCGGCCTTGCATCGAAACGTCTAACCACTGAAACACTGAGCCGGTCTTGAACAACCTTATCGATTGTCTCTGCTGAGCACTGTTTCATAGAAACATTAATCAATCACTGCAAATTGTACCATAATTAAAATTTTACATTAACCCTTTGTTTTTATCTTACGAGATAATTTTCAATATTTTTTATCACAGAAATTATTGATTGAAGTGAAAATGGTATTTGGAGATGGCCAGTATCGTTACAATCGCATGGAGTGAGTAAATGCCGCTGGATCTATTTACAATTGTTGGTGGGGTTTATTTTTGACACTTTCATGGATTTTTGTACAGTGAAAAACTGAGAAAATAATACAACCATACGAATCACTCAACACCTCAATGTGTTTTATTTTTGACAAGAAAAACAAATTTTGTCTGTAAATTTTGATTTGAATGAGTGTACTAATATATATACATAGAACAGCCAGCAATGCGATTCAGTATGATTACTTCGTCTTGTTTGGGATTGGTCTACAGTTCGATATACCTGATATATCCTACAGCTGATGATCCTTCCAGCACCTGAATGCAGTACCCCATTCGCTCTAAACTCTATTGCGTTATCGACATAGCTAGTTGAGTTCATACAGTCAGTCACTTGGACTCATTTGCTGATATTTATACAGAAATTTGATCTATTGTGGTTGATATTTATATATATGCGGATCCGATGAAGATTCCCCTCGTAGTATAGCCATGATATGACATAAGTGTTTACATAGATCAAAGCAATCTGCATAAAATAACCAAAAGTAAGTATACCAATGAAGAATGATCACATTTTAGTCTAAAAAAGAGTATCAACAATGCAATATAATTCAAACTATTTCAAAATTTGTACAAGTATCGTTTTTGCTAATTAAAAGGTGAATTCATTTCTCGTACAATATTCAAATATTTGATTGTACACGCAAATATATATATATAATATGTATATAAAAAGATTTTTTAAAAATTGTTTTGTTTAAGTTTATATTTTATTGAAAAAGAAACATCGTTTAGGTAAAGAAAAACAAAGGATTTTTACATTTCATTATCAAAATATCAAACAGTTTTTATTCAACGAAATGAATAATTTTAAAAATAAGAAGTTATTGATCCATGTGGCATAAAACGCAATAATTCCTTCAAAAAATACTATTTTCTCAAATTCTGAACGTTACTGATTCATAACATAACACTGACTAGATAGTCTGGTAGACTGTGATTTGTGGCATTAGGCATCATTTCAATCATAAATACAATTACTTAAGCTATCGCAGAACAATTTATGTATGTAGAAGCTTATGGTGGTGTTTCGTTCTATGAGCTTTGGATGTTTTGGTTGTGAACCTTTCATTATTTGTAAGTCTAATTCAATCGGTCAGTTCCTATTGGTCGTCTTAACTATCAATGTCACATACTTCAAACGTTTTTCCTTCTCGACCTAACTGCATAAATATGCATTATCTGTATGGTTTTATGACCCGGATCCTTAGTTTGGGGATCCTTATGATCTTCTGGATTAGGACCTCGTACTTTTTTGATGCTTGTAGAATACACGTTCTACTTCATATCATGTCTTCTTCTTCTATTTAGTGGGAGTTTGGGATGCACGGATTAGAGTAGTCGGTCGGATCATCGATCCTCGCTCTCGTTTTCCGACTAATGTGAACTCATAATAGTTCAAGCATATCGGTTGACGTGATCACGCGCATGCTGGTAGTTAACTCTGCTATGTACCAATTCGAAACTGGATGAGTTTCACTGAAGATGTGTTGATATGCTGAGGAAAGTGATATCCACTTACCTCAAATTATAACTGCTCTTACACTTTTCGGATTGGCCACTCCAAATTCCATTATAGACTCAAATCAAAGTAGTCTATTGAGACCAGTTAAAATGTGATTTGAATAAATTCAATCAACTGTAGTTCACATTTGCGACTTGTTAAGATTCAGTCAGTTTGTGTAATATTGGAAACTAGAGAGTGCTGGACACTGGTTTCAAATACCAATCTTCGTGTACTTAGTATCGTAATCGAGAGCAGTATTGATTAGGTAGAATATAGGTGTTGTCATTTGAAGAGTAATTTTCATTGAGATTGTTGCAGTTCTATTGCGGAGTTGTGACTGGGACATTTTAACGATGGACAAACACAATTGAATTTTCCAGTGCGTGATCAGTGGATTCAAAGCAGGTTAGCAAACCGAGGGTAACTGCCTTGCTTTGGAATCCGAATTTCGTGCTTATGCATTGGTGAGAATCATCAAATCGAGCAGAAACAGCGATATGGATATGTCTGATTTTCCAATCAATACTAAACCAATGACAATACTTATCGTGAAATCACCGACAAATGAGAATGAAGTTAAAGGTTATTTGATGAATAATTTTTAACAACGCATCGTGCATATTGTATTAACATTGAGTTGAATCAAGTACTCAGTATCATGCAGATGAATAATTGTTTGCAAAATAAACAAATAAACTGATATAGTGTTCTATAAAGTAAGCAAATTAACTTTTAACACCTACTCAGTGGAAGCAAAGTTCATGTTTCACGAATTATCATCAAATTGTTTATGTGTATTAAGTATCGCACATTGGACATTGAACAGAAATTATTCTACGATTACTGATTAATTCTCGTTTTGAACAGATTTTTAGTAATATTAATACTAGTAGTAGTAGTAGTAGTAGTGGTATTACTTGTATTACTAGTAGTACATACATACTGTTGTGATCGTCACTTGATACGCTTGAAGCTATTACAAGTTCACCAGCGTCTAGGTAGGCTACCTTGAATACCAAGCTGGTAAGCGTAGAAAGTATATTCTACAAACACCCAGCAATCACAATACAATCAAGCACACAACTCTCGTTTATTTATACAACATAGAAACGTCCTTAAGACAGTTAAGAAAATAGCACACTAAAATACACAGCAGCCAATCACAGCCATGGATTTTGGTGGTGGGAAATGAAATCTCAAGCTCAATTGGTCAGCCCATGTTGGCAAACGTGAAATTCAAAATAAGGCATTTATCAAGCGAGTTCTGGAGATCTAATATCCCCCACAATTCATTCATGTGACACTCACAAAATCCACCAAGGAATGGAATGGGTTATGCATAAGGCTGAAATCACTTCTGTTTCAATAGTATAAATGTACAGATTAATAACTTGTGAAATTCGTCTGTCATCTTGTGTTGTATATTTAGAGACATTCGACGAACTTCGCCGTCTCTTGTGCTAATTGGATAACGCAATAGCGTTTAAAGCGAATGGGGTACAGCATTCAACTCCTGGAGTGAATATCAACTCTAGGATATGTCAAGTATGTCGAACTGTAGACCAATCCCAAAACACGACGAAATAATCTTACTGAATCGCATTGCTATTACACATTCTATCTGTTCTATGTATATATATATGTGTACACTCATTCAAATCAAAATTTACAGACAAAATTTGTTTTTCTTGTCAAAAATAAAACACAATGAGATGTTGTGTGATTTGTATTGTTTGTTTTATTTTCTCATTTTTAAATGTACAAAAATCCATGAAAGTGTCAAAAATAAACCCCACCAACAATTGTAAATAGATGCAGCTGCATTGACTAACTCCATGCGATTGTAACGATACTGGCCATCTCCAAATACCATTTTCACTTCAATCAATAATTTCTGTGATAAGAAATATTGAAAATTATCTCGTAAGATAAAAACAAAGGGTTAATGTAAAATTTTAATTATGGTACATTTTGCAGTGATTGATTGATAATTCTATGAAACAGTGCTCAGCAGAGACAGTTGATAAGGTTGTTCAAGACCGGCTCAGTGGTTCATTGGTTAGACGTTTCGATGCAAGGCCGAAGGTCTTGTGTGTGGTTCTAGTGAGCGGGAGTGTTGAATCCACTCTAATGATGAGTCTCGATCTAGGACGAAATGGCCATCTTTTAGTGCTTCCAAGTTTCTATTCATGATCTAACATTATTCGACTCATGATTATTTCAATGAAACTTAACATTCTCCACAACCTTATAATAAACTTCATTGTATAATTACCAAATAGCTGGACTGCTATATTTCTATAAACCGTTTGTTATATTCTTTCATTTGACCTATTAACTGTCACAATATATTTGAGTAGTCTTAATTTCAGCAATCAAAACAGTCAATTATTTTAATCGTAATACTGAATATTTCATAAAATCCACCGATACAAAACGAAACACACCAACCAAATTAGACTTGATGGAGAAGCATTAGAAGATATGAAAACATTGACAATACATATCTAGGCAGCATGATCAATAAACACTGTGGATCTGATTCTGATGTGAAAACACAGAATGGAAAAGCAGGGAGACTATTTTGACATTTGAAGAGAGCATCTCACACTCGAAACATCTCTCAGTCAGCCAACAATAAATTTAGAATTTTCAAACAGAACATCAAGATAATTGTTCTATTGTATGTTGTAGAAACATGAAGAACTATGAAAACTATCATCTACAAGATTCCCGTGTTGTCTATGTAAGATAATGCAGATCGATTGACTTGAAACCATCTTTAACAACCGACTGTGTGAGAGAAGAAACCAGACTAAGGAGGGAATAAGGAGAAATAACGGAGGTGGATAAAACACACACCGAGGAAATCATCCAACTGCATCACGAGGCAAAAGCTCTCTTGGAATCCTAAAAGCGAAAGGAAGACAGATTGACCAAGGGATATATTGCGACCAGAATGAGAGACGACATGAAAAGAATGAATTCCACTTGGATAGAACTGTCAACGAACTCGGACAACCGAGTGGATTGGAAAATGCTGATAGGCGATCTATGCTCCGTGAGAGGTAACAGGCGTAAGTCAGTTAGTATGTAAGTAAGTAAGTAATTTCACATCATACTACAGAGAAATCATTAAGAATGATTCGATCATTTAAAATGCAATATTGAACAATATAAATATATATACATCAAATATTCAAGAAAATGTTAACGAGATATTAATATTCACTTACAAGACATAATAATAGAAATGCAAATACACCAGTAACAATCAGTGGAATCTATGATCAGTGATAAACAAAACACAAATAAAGAGATTTGTAGCAATTAAGTTTAAGAAAAAAAACACCAATTTCATTGAGATGCTTATTTGTGTATAGAATAATTGAATATTGATTGAAATAACAAACGTATTGTTCTGTATCATTTCATTATATCATTATCGATCGATAGGATAATTGCGAACTGGAATCGTTCAGGAAAATGATAAAACATAAATAATTCATTGTTAGATCACCATTAAAAACCTGAAAGCACTGAATGCTGGTCGATGAATCCTGAGATAGAAATCATCAAAATTGTGCATGCAAGACTAACGTTAAAAGCAGAATTCGAACTTGGAACTTTCGATTTTGCGCATGAACGCTCACATCTTCGACCACTGACTGTACATGGAACTGTGGTAATGACTAACTCTGATCAGTCTAACGATTTCGCGCTACCTCATCTATTGTCTTCAGTAGTTACTGCCTATATCCAACATGATTGAAATCCACTGATCACTGATCTCACAAAATCTCCGAGAATTTCTTCACGAATCTAGTCACCAGTGAATACATTTTTCGATTTAGCATTATAGTTTAACGGGTGTCGTTGTTTTGCACTGAAATGACGAGAGTTCAACTCTAATGGATATCAGCATTAACAACCGAAGACAATGAGTGAAGTAGCACGAAATCCGTAGACTGATCGGAGTTATTCAATAACACCGTTTGATGTGGTCTAGAATTTAAGCGTTCACGCACAAGGCTGAAGACCCTGTGTTCAAGTAGCACAAGTCACGGTAAACACTGCTGATAATTCCCATATCAGGATGAAACGCCAGTCTTTCAGTGCTTCCATGTGTCTTCTAATGATGGTTGTCAGTCACACTAGAATGTTTAATCAAACTGAAATAATACAATGCAAAACTCTAATCACCTACTTCATTATTTCCTAATGTAACGTGAATTATTTGACCAAGTAACAACAAACTAACAATAATCAATGTAATAATCATGTTTACAATGTGATTTTGACTAATATCATATTGTAGAACAGTTGTAATGCATATAAGGAAGTTGAATACAATCACTGATATAGCGGTAATCATATAAACAGCATCTACAGAGTATAAAGTTGCATCTGATGCAATTGCAATGGTTGAAAATAATGTCTGAAATGAGAATAAACAAGAAAATATGTAATAAAAATAATGAATGATGATAATCGTAATCACAATCAAGATGAACAGTTGGTGATATTATACTACTTAAATACTCTGATGATAGTATAATGTAAGCGGTAAAACCATCACTAACATGAAAATTCATCAATTGATTTGATGTAATGTAGTCTGTGTGTTAATTATACTAAATATTAGAACATGATGCAGCAAGGAATTGTTCGTGAGTCTTACCGATGATTGAATATTTATCGGTATGAAAAGAGGTGTTACAGTTACTTAAGGACAGTCCAAGCCTGTTGTTTATGTTAGGATGAGAAAATATTTGCATTACGGGGTTGTGAAGATTGTTAAGTTACACATTTTTGAAACCATGAATCGATCAATGTTAGGCCACCATTAGAAACCTGGAAGCACTGGACGTCTGTTTCGTCCTGTTATGGGACTCCTCAGCAGTGCGCATCCACGAGTCCTGCACCCCGCAGTTTTCGAACGCGGGACCTTCTGTTTTGTGGCGAAAGCCTAACCATCGGACCACTGAGCCGGTATCGGTTATTCAGTTATTCAGGAGACACATCAAGCAACCGCATATTCATCTGTCAATTGTGTGTGAGTCAGAGAGATTAGGTAATCTAGTGTTATATACTTACGTCTGTTATCTCCAATCGAGCATAGGCCTTTACTAACATTCTCCAACCTAATATATTTTGGGTTTCTCTTCTCGGTTCTATACAACTTTTGTTCATTCTTCTCATATTCATCTCCGTTTCTCAGAGTAATATGTTCCTTGACCTTCCTCTTTTCTGTTGACGTTGAGGGTGCTTATTGAGGTCTTGTTTTGTGATGAAGTTGGTTACTTTTCTAAATGTGTGTCTCATCCACTTCCACCACTTCTTCCTGATTTCCCACTCCACTGGAATCTTGTTTGTTCCCTCGCACAGTAGTTTGTGGCTGATGGTTTCTGACCAATGGATCCGAAGTATTTTGTGTAGACAACCGTTAATGAACTCTTATATCGTGTGGATGATGACTTTGTTGGTTTGCTAAGTTTCTGACACAAAGAATAGCAGTGTCTTGATATCGGAATTGACGATTCCAAATTTGATGTTTGTTGATAGTTGTTTTGAATTGTAGATGTTGTGTAACTATAGAAATACGATTCTTACTTTCCCATTCGATCTACATCAGTTACACCTTGCTCTTGAACGTTGCTGCCTAATTAGGTAAAGTTCTTTACATCCTCCATAAAGACTGTCTTTATTATTTTGTGATCTTGAAAAACGTACAATAATTCACAGACTGATCAGATTCAGACATTAAAACTGTTGGATATCGGTTAGCTCAATGGTCTAAAGGTTAAGCGTCTGCGAACAAGGCCGACACTGCTAGGGAGGCATATCACTAGAAGGAAACAGTTGGATTAATTCAGTTTGATTAGTGATCTGTTGAATATATTTAGTTGAGATAAGACAATGAAAAACTAACAACAGAAAACAAAGTCCTAATAGCTATAACAGTGTCCATCCTATTCATTCGTCACACAACCTCAATACTACTCTCTCAATTCTAGTCATTCTTCAAACACTAAACAAATAATTGTGATCTACTTTGGATTAATCAATACAAGTGATTCTTCATTGATAACTGATTCACTAACCGAAATACATCTGAACTCGCTTTCACTTTGGTGCATTTAATCAGAAGTCTCATGAGAATTGTTGTTCGATGTATGGAAGGTGAAATCTTCAAAACTACCCGACTGTTCCCACACCGAATGTGAACGGAATTGTGTGGATAGGTAAAACATTTTCCACCATCTCAAATCTATAAATTTCCCGTACCTGACAAAGTATCTTCTGTTGGACAGATATGTTAGTCAATGATACAAGTATCCGATACTACGTTTAGTTTGAATGCGATTAGTACAAATGATCAAGTGTAATACAACTGGCTGCTCAAACGTGATGCCTAAAAATGATACCAATTTCCTATGGATAATTATAATTGATTATCGATTGATGAGAAATACCGTCAATATTCAAATTAATTATAAAGAATAATTCACTATTAAGCTTACGGACATTGGAAGATAGAATTTATTAAATAAATAATGTAAATGACCAGACAGCATCAGCAACAACCTACTGTAAGAGAGAACAAACCAGATTGCAGTGGAGGAGGAAATCAGCAAGAAGCGGTGGAAGTGGATAGGACACACATTATGAAAAGCAACGAACTGTGTCACAAGACAAGCACTCACTTGGAACCCTCAAGGCAAAAGGAAAAGAGGAAGGCCAAGGAACACATTACGCCGAGAAATAGAGAAAGATATGAGAGGAATGAACAAACATCCGACAGAACTGGAGACGGAATCCCGGGACACAGTTGGTTGGAGAAAACTGGTGGGCGGCCTATGCTCCATTGAGGGTAACAGGCGTAAGTAAGTAAGTAATATATATATTAACATTTCTATTACAAGATGGAATGTCAAACACACACATATATACATACACTTACCATCAGTAGTAGATACATTATGTTATAGGGCAGTTTACGTGATAACGCTGGAACGAACGCCCACACCAACTGAAGAACTAAGTAGATAGCGCTGTGAATAGTATGGTTTAGAACATTGATGAAAATAATAATAATTTCAGAACAAATGTAAAAAATTATCATTCACAATTTACGAATTGCATTTTGATATGATGAATAAAATCAACATACATAAAGGGAAAATTAAGATTCTACGATACAACACAACATTCGACAACCAAATCACACTTGATGGAAATGCTTTGAAGGACGTTAACACCTTTACATATCTGGGGAGCATCATCGACAACCAAGGTGGATCAGATGCAGATGTGAGGGCGCGGATTGGCAAAGCAAGGACTGCAATTCTACAACTGAAAAATATCTGGGAGAGAACAAACCAGATTGCAGTGGAGGAGGAAATCAAGATGAAGCGCTGGAAGTGGATAGGACACACACTATAAAAGCACCCACAACGCGTCTCCAGAGAAGCGTTTTCTTGGAACCCTCAAAGTTAAAGGAAAAGAGGTAGGCCAAAGTACATATTACGCTAAGAAACAGAGAAAGACATGAGAAGAAGGAAAGAAAACTGGAAAGGGAAGGCCAGGACAGAGTTGGTTGGAGAAAACTGGTTGGCGCCCAATGCTCTATTCAGGGTAACAGGCGTAAGTAAGTAAGTAAGTATGATAAAGAAAATGCATGGCTAAGAATTATGAACTCTACGGTATGATGTTTATTGTGTTGTGAAAAACAATACAGATATTGGATAAGGGTAAGACAATGAAGGCTAGAAATTTTTTCATGAAAGAAATTTCTTCTGATTCACTAGCATTCATTACAAATTTTGTCTTTATTGCGTGAACTTCATTTAATATCTTTTCAACATCTGAATCTCTACTCAGCTGTCGGATAGCCATCATTGAATTCACAATTTTCAATACAAACGTCAAGACAGTTGTTCTGTTGTATGTAACGGAAACTTGAAGAACTGAGACCGTCATCCTCCACAAGATTCAGGTGTTGATTACCATATCATGTGGATCCATTGGACAGACATCATCAGTAACAATCTATTGTGGCAGAGAACAAAAAAACTTCCTCCAACTGAGGAAGGAATTGGGAAAAAACGTTTGAGATATATGGGACACCCGAATAAGAAACGAGGCAATTACTAATTTAGAAACCTCACGGATAAAGGAGCAGAGGTCGATTGAACAGCACATTTTGCCGAACACACTTAGAGACATGCATGAAAAGAATGAATAGCAATCGTGAATAGCCAGAATGAAAAGTGAATGACACATTAGCTTGGAGAATGCTGGTAACAGATGCAAGTAAGTAATATGCAATTCACTTATCGCTTTGTGATCATTTATATCTGTGAATAGTCGGTTATTTTATTGGAAATTAATGTTATCTTCACTTGATATATTTGCATTAATAAATAATAGTTCGATTATCGATTATACGCTCACAATAATATTAGTAATAATAGTAATAAATATTTCTGTTGGATATCGACAGTGAACAAAGTTATTTCCTTACCTGAATATCCATAAAATTAATTGATTCTCTTTGGTCCATTCACGGATCGCTTGACTAAAAATGAAATTTCAATTACAGATTATTTAATGATCAGAAAAAGCTAACAACAACAACAGAATGACATACATTTGAATGAATAAGATTGTTCCGGCAAAACTGATTGCCAATTGAAGAATACTAATTGAAAATACCTGTAAATGTAGTAGAATAGACAAGAATTATTTCATTTTATATATTGAAGACCAATGAAATCTAGAAAGTAAAAATGTTTGATTTAAGTGATAGTATCATTCTGGAAATGGAGTTGTATGTTTTATATGGGAATTCATATGTTTTGATAGTTTGATCAAGTGAAATTGTTTTTAAAACAATTAGTTTGAATTCAGAAATGTTGATAGAATAATCAGAGTATGTAGTTCCTCTTCAGATGAGTTATATATTTGCGCTATAGTTATTTCGAATGATCCGATCACATACATACATTTATCAACGTATTTCAGATGTAAATTAATAATAACAGTCGCGCAAGACTGCTTATCGATCGAAGTTAGACCATAGCATCATTGGGTGCCGGGTTAGTGGACAACGGGTTAAGCGTTCGTGAGTACGATCAAAGGTTTTAGGTTCCATCCCTTAGGGCGGGCGCTTTTTGGTTGCGTCATGTTGATCATTTTAATACTTAGAAGTAATGGTCATCCGATGTCTCCAGGTTTCTAATGATGGTCTAACATTGGTCGATTATTGATTCTAATGGAACTCAACAATCTTTACAACCCTATGGCGAGAATTAATCAAGGGTCAATTAAATAAAACTCTAAATTAATCACATTAGATTATATGCAATAATATAACCATTCGGTAGTTAAAGGAACATTTCATTTAAGTGATAAAATTTTTTATTATAATGCAACTGCTGAACCAGTAACAATCTGCTGTGGGATAGAACAAACTAGGTCCCAGAAAAAGCAGACATCAGGAAAAAGCGTAAGAGGTAGATAGGACACATATTGAGGATAGTAACCTAATACGTCACAAACACCGACACTGATTCGGAATCCTCAATATCAAAGAAAAAGATGCAAACAGAACAACGCATTACGGTGAAAATCGGAAACAGATGTGAAAAGAATGAACAGCGATTGGAAAGAACTAGGAACAAACGACCAGGACTGAGTAGATTGGAGAATGCTAGTTGGCAGCCTAGGCTCCACTGGGTGTAAAAAGGCGTAAGTACGTAAGTAAGTAAGTAAGTGCATAAGAGCATAAGTAAGTAGGTAAATAAGTAACTGTTTAATTTACGTAATATAGTGAGGAAGCTCTAACCATCTTGTACAATAATATCGTGAGATGGATGAAATTATTATTCACTGATTTGTTCTTTGTCAACAAAGTTCACTTAGCCAATCATGAATATGCTTTACTAATAAAGATAAACGATTTGACCAAAGTATACTTTCATTTGTCTAAGGAAGATGAAATTTCTGATGCGAAGGAGGCTAGACAATTTAATTTTGTTTGTGAAGATTGTTGAATTTCATCATAAAATTGATCATAAATTGATCAATATTAGGCCATCATTAAAAAATCTTGGAAGAGCTGGATGATCGCCGTTTCATCCTGGTCTAGGGCTCATCAGTTGTACACATCCAGGACTGCATACCGCAAGAATCAAACCAAGAAACTTCGGTCTTGCTCGCTTACGCTTCACCCATAGACCACTCATTCAAGTGTATTAGTGACTAACTTCAATCAATCTGCATTCTTCATGAGTCCTTTACCAAGACAAAACGTCTTTCCAGTACTTTCACATTTGTAACAGTGATCTAACATTGATCGATTCATGATTTGAATTTTGTTTGAAACAAATAGATTTCTAGACAGTATGTTTTATAAGTACACATTTAAAAAATCTATTGAACTGTGATGACGAAAACTAATTTTTCTTTTTTGAATGGAACGAAGTTCAACTGTCAATAAACGTATACATATAAATACATTTTCAATCATTCAATAAATGATACCAGTTTATCTTTCAATGTTCAATACTCGTGTTAGAACAATAATATTCAACAAGAATTAATTCAGTAAGGTATGTGAAAAATAAAACAACACATCACACCGGATAATTAATGAATTACGTATAGAATAAAATGTACTTTTTGCTTACATTCAAAGTGAAAATATTTTCATCACTTGAATATTGATTTCGACGAATTGATACCTCTTTTTGTTGTGATGAATGCAAAGCACACTTTCTTAATTGTTTATAAGTGTTGACCACATTTTTACTTTCACAATGACGTCTCATTGTTTCTGTGATGTTAAGTGAAATATTAAAAGCAAGCGAGGATTGAATTAGGTTTGAAAATATATCATAAATAAAACGATAACTTCGTTACATTATGAATACCCGGTTTTGTGCACTCCTGAATACGTAAAAAGGTGCACAATATGCTCACTAGTGACTAGCTTCGTGAGGAAATTCTCAGAGTTCTAATGAGAAGACCTGACCAGTGAACGTTCACCACTGTACAATATAGGCAGGAACTACTGAAGACTACTGAATGAGGTCGCGTAAAATACCTAGAATGATCAGAGTTATACATGAAATCCGTTAAATGCCAGCTAACTAATCTCGAGGTTAGTCGATTGGCTTCAGTTTGAATCCTCCAACATCCACCAATACACTCCAATAAATCTGTACTTTACTTCAATATAATTTGACTATATGATGATAGATGAAACAAATTCAACTCAATAAAATATGATATTTCACTATGTTCTAACAATTTTATGTGTAAGCATTTTGTGGAAATGTTTGATGTTTTAATAAATTCTATTAACATTTTCATGAATTCGAAAAATAATAATTACACAACTGATTCGTACATACATGTGTATATATAATCAGCTTAATTGTAACTTGAAGTCACACACAGAATTGAACTTTGACTGTTTTTGTCATTATCATTAATGATGATGAATACAACTTAATTATCTACCTAAGAAAAACTCATTCATATACATAAAAACCATGTGTGTCCATATCAGTTTGATTAAAAGATTCCAAAAGACTGGAATTGAACATATAATAACCAGAACTGCATTGTCAACCTACCTCTACTCAAACAAAAAAAGATTCCCTTTTCTGTTTTGTCAATGTTCAATGATGATGATGATGATGATGCTTTGGTCATCCATCATGTTCATGATCAAAAAACAATTTTTTGGTTGTTTTTCGAAAAATGATAAACAACTTGATGGATGCACTTTAATCCATTCGATAGACAAACCAGGAATAAATTTAATTGGACATTGAAATGAGTGTTGAATTGTGTTGTTGATTTGATTTTTCTTGTCTATTTTTCAATATTTCATTTTGAAATAAACAAAATCATTTTTTTCTCAAATATTGTTTAAATAATAAACACACCTGACTATTTACTGGATAGATTTAATGGGGGGAATCAACTACATTCGTTTTGAGTGAGGAAGAAATCAAATATTGATCTACTCCTATTTATTTTTAGTGATGGTCAATCAGGTACAACTAATGTTGTAGTCACTGTGATGTCTACTTTCGAAACTTCAGCTGGTGTTTTGTTTGGTCTATCTGTTTTGCCACCCTTTATGTACATGATGGTGGCGTGATATTTACAAGAAATTTACTATATACAGCTTCGATTTATGGATGAGTTCAGTAGGGCTATACTATTTGAGAGTTCTTCAAAGTGTTCCAACCAATTGTGATGCTATTCTTTGATTCTAGTGATTGGTTAATCTTCCTTGTTTTTTGACTGCTTCTCTTCACTTGCTTGTGTATTTTTGTTTATTTTGCCAGTGTTTAGATTCTTATTGACTGAAGAATATCGACAGTTTTTTGAACCATGATCTATGGTCATACACTAATGACGATTGTTCGTAATATATTATCTGATAAATGTCAGTCAGTTGTAAATCAATCATTCTCTTAGGTTTGATGAAATTTCAGGTCACCTCATCGAACGAAATAACCGTCAACTTTCTACGTAACTCTTACAAAAATCATCAGGTATGCTCTACTTATTTCAAAATTACCAAACGTTGTAATGACCACTTACTTGGTAAGGATATTCCATCTCTATGGTCAGTTCAATTTAACAATCACTGATCTTCACCAAAGAAACGTGTTGTTTGATGCTCCGATCATTGACAGATGCATCTATCAAGTGGAAAACACTTTGTCAAGTACAAAATATTTATTTATCTATAGGCATTCAGTTCACATTCGATGTAGGAACAGTTTGGTAGTTTTAAAGATTATACCTTCTTTCATATTACTGCCAGTTAAACATACATCAAACAATATCTTACACTTGTCATTACAATTCCGATTAGATGTGCACCATTTAAATGTGGATATGAGTTTAGAGGCATTTCCTTTAACCGAAGCAGATATCAATGAAGAATCCATAGTAGATCTCAATTATTCAGTGAACATTTGAAGAATGACTGCAGTCGACTGAGTAGTGTCGAATTTGAATGAGCAATCAATATAATTAACATTGTTATGGCTAATAGGATCAAAATTAGAAAGAGAAATAATTTTCTGTTGTTAGTTTTGTATGGTTCATCACAACCAACTTAATTCAAAAGAAAAATGGTCAGATAAATATGATCTGTAGATCATTTTCTTCATGTTATGTTCGTCAGTAGGTACGCTTGAAGCTATTACAAGCTCACCTTAGTCGATAAACGAGAACGAGTCAATCAACCAGCGCCCAGATAGGCTACCTTGAATCCCAAACTTCAAAACAGAAGACTTGATCAGCGTAGAAAGTAAATTCTACAAACACGCAGCAATCACATTACAATCAATCACACAACCGTCGTTTATTTATACATCATAGAAACGTCCTTGTGACACTTACGAAAATAGCACACTAAAATACACGGCAGCAAATCACAGCCATGGATTTTGCTAGTGGGAAATGAAATCTCAGGGTCAACTGATCAGCCCATCCTGGCAAACATGAAATCCAAAATAAGGCATTTATGAAGCGAGTTTTGGGGATCTAACATCCTCAACACTTCATTCATGTGACACTCACAAAATGCACCTAGGAATTGAATGTGTTTTGCTTCAGGCTGAAATCACTTCTGTTTCAATAGTATAGATGTACAGATTATGTGAAATTCATCTGTCAGTACATCTTGTGTTGTATATTTAGAGATATTCGACGAAGTTGGTCGTCTCATGTGCAACTAGTTCATAAAGCATACAACAACAAGAAAATCTACAGTATGTGAAATAAAACATTGTGAGCAATTACAAATGCAACTTCTGTAGGCTTCTTCATGATGGAGAAAATTTTTAGCTCAGGTGAATGATTGTGTTGGTTTTTCGTTCTCTGAGCTGATTGTCATTGCCAACATCGACACTGACCCAATTTATCAACTAATCAGAAAAATCATAGGTGACATAGGATCAAGAAACAGATCAAAAGGGGCATACAATCAAAACAAAGGTGCAAACAGAGACAGGTTTAATGTCAACAACAACCAATCAAGATTGAGGTTAGCAGAACAAGCTACAGGTCAAACGTAGAGAAGTTTGAATACTTCACTTCTTCTATCTGAAGTTTGTGCTGATGATGCTGTTCAGAACAAGAACAATGAAAGCTCCGCAACCAAAACATCCAAAGCTCATAGAACGAAACGCGATAGAGTTTAAAGCGAATGGGGTACTGCATTCAGGTGCTGGAGGGATCATCAGCTGTAGGATATGTCACGTATATTGAACTGTAGACGAATCTCAAAACTGGACGAAATAATCTTACTGAATTTCATTGCTAGACACATTCTATCTGTTCTATGTACATATATGTGTACATTCATTCAAATCAAAATTTACAGACAAAATTTGTTTTTCTTGTCAAAATTAAAACACAATGAGATGTTGTGTGATTTGTAATTTCACATTTTTTTATTGTACAAAAATCCATGAAAGTGTCAAAAATAAACCCCACCAACAATTGTAAATAGATCCAGCGGCATTTACTAACTCCAATCGATTGTAACGATACTGACCATCTCCAAATACCATTTTCACTTCAATCAATAATTTCTGTGATAAGAAATATTGAAAATTATCTCGTCAGATAAAAGCAAAGGGTTGATGTAAACTTTTAATGATAGTACATTTTGCAGTGACTGAATATTTCGTAACAGAACAAATACTGAGAAGATAATGGTAACTTGTGAAACCGTTTCATAGATTACAATTAGAGTGGTTTATATTTCTGTAAAACTGTACTCATCAGAGAGAGACATTGGATAAGGTTGCGCAAGAGCGTGGATTGATCGAAGTTAGTCATTGACAGCGTCGAATGCCGGCTCAGTGGTTTAGTGTTTAGACGTTCGTGTGCAAGACAGAAGGCTTTGTGTGTGATTCTCGTGAGCGGAAGTGATGAATCCGCTCTAATGATGAGTCTCCATCTAGGACGAAATGGCCATCTTTCAGTGCTTCCATGTTTCTAATGATGATCTAACATTATTCGACTCATGCTTTCCATGAAACTTAATATTCTCCACAACCTTATAATAAACTTCATTGTATAATTTCCAAATGACTAGACTGCTATGTTTCTATATACTGTTTGTGATATGCTTTCATTTGACCTATTAACTTCCACGATATCTGTGATTGATCCACATGTAGTTGGAATAGTATTGACTGAAGCTTGATCATTTTCCCCTCTTATTCGAATTGAACGGTGTAAGTAGAAGAGGATATATTCTGGACTAATAAGATTTTGGGATAATTCTCGGTTCAGCATCGAGACAAAACACTATACAAGTCAAATAATGTAACTGACTAGAGGTTAAGTAACTCAGGCAATTGACCTAGGCCTAGTAAAGAAATTATAACTAGGATTCTCACTGACCAATTGTTTCTGGCGATATCAATACAATTAGAGTCATGATGAGAAATTTTGGAATAGAATAAAGTGCTATCTTTGACTGCTGTAAGACTCAAATATTTGATTAGTAAATTACCTAACAGTTAGAACAGAGTCTACATATATATAGATGACTTTTAGTCAATAAATAGTTCTGATTACTATACAAAATATTCAAATATGCAAATGCTAGCATTATGTTCATTTCCAGATTTGATAAGGAGCAATCGAAACGGTCAATGATTCTTATTCGTATTACTGAATATTTCATAAAATCCACCGATACAAAACGAAACACACCAACCAAATCAGACTTGATGGAGAAGCATTAGAAGATATGAAAACATTGACAATACATATCTAGGCA